AAAGGTTCAAAATGGATTGAACAAAGGGTTTAACACTGTTCCTTGCCTTCTTCCTAGTTTCAGAAGTGAAAAAGAAGAAGAAGAAAAAAAAAAAAAAGGGTTTCACATCACACTGAAATGGAAGGCTCACCTTGTTGGCCACCACCACCATAGCCACCTTGACCACCTGCAAGATACATTACAACACATTCTGAGTAGTGGCATATTTGATTTTTTTCTTTTTATCTTTCCACATGAGCATGTAACTGAAACTATTATGTATTTCAACTTGGATATTTCAACAACTGCATTACTTATGCAGCAAAGTAATTTCTATATATTTCTTTGAAAGTGGTATATTTTCCACACTTAAAATGTCACTTGATAACACAACTTCACGTAAACTGATATACAAACTGGTGTCATAACAGTTTAGGGTTTGGGCCTAGGTAATCACACACATATATAATACAGAGCACTTATCACCCCCCTATTCTGAAGTGGAAAAAATGCTTCCTCTCTATTTATTCATCTTTGATTTTACCACATCTTGGTATCAGGTCTTCTAGTTTGATGTCCATTGCATAAAATTCCCTTCATGAACTTTCCCACACATGATCTCCAACCTTTATCAATTCGTATCTACTAGATTCTGAAGGCCAATGTTTGAGGCAGGTTTATCAATTCAGACTGGTAGATCACTTGCATTCAAAGTCTATCCATAACGGTTTCATTAACTAATTTGGTTCATATTCGAGGTGGAGAGGAGGAGGGAGACCGAGAGAGAATGTACAAGAGGAAAAGAAAAGAAGAGGGAGACACAATGGGATGGAAATAAGAGGTATGTATAGATGGGCAGACAGAGATGGACAGATACAGACAGACAGATTGAGAGACAGATTAACACAGAGGGGAAAGGATCACAAGGCTCACCTTGCTGTCCACCTCCACCACCATCCACACTAAAATGTCACTTGATAACACAACTTCACGTAAACTGATATACAAACTGGTGTCATAACAGTTTAGGGTTTGGGCCTTGGTAATCACACACATATATAATACAGAGCACTTATCACCCCCCTATTCTGAAGTGAAAAAATGCTTCCTCTCTATTAATTCATCTTTGATTTTACCACATCTTGGTATCAGGTCTTCTAGTTTGATGTCCATTGCATAAAATTCCCTTCATGAACTTTCCCACACATGATCTCCAACCTTTATCAATTCGTATCTACTAGATTCTGAAGGCCAATGTTTGAGGCAGGTTTATCAATTCAGACTGGTAGATCACTTGCATTCAAAGTCTATCCATAACGGTTTCATTAACTAATTTGGTTCATATTCGAGGTGGAGAGGAGGAGGGAGACCGAGAGAGAATGTACAAGAGGAAAAGAAAAGAAGAGGGAGACACAATGGGATGGAAATAAGAGGTATGTATAGATGGGCAGACAGAGATGGACAGATACAGACAGACAGATTGAGAGACAGATTAACACAGAGGGGAAAGGATCACAAGGCTCACCTTGCTGTCCACCTCCACCACCACCACCATATCCACCTTGACCACCTGCAGAATATATCGTAGCACACAATAAGTGTATATGAAATATTTAATTTTCTCTTTGGATGGGCTCGTAAGAAAATAACCTTATTTTGCTGATATGATTCTTGAGCTTTTGTTATGACTGACTTAACTGGTTAAATAAAAGGGCAGTATTTTCTGCATCAAGCAATCTATCTCAACATTTGCTTTCCTAGGTTTTCATACTGCTCAAAACTATATATATAATCAAAATAAAGCATCAATATGGTTCCTCCCTTGGTGATATGTCGGACTGTATCATTAGACAAACATTCATATATTTCCATATCCTCCCCTTCAAAATTCTCTGAAATACTCTACTTTCATATAAGATTACAACCTATTTATAATTAACTTTTAACATGGCCAGCTACAGGTCTGTCACTGACACAGCCTATCATTTAATCCAGAAGCCTTATTTGCCAAATGTTCAAAATAACAGAACACTAAAACACAAGGCTCACCTTGCTGTCCACCACCACCATATCCACCTTGACTACCTGTCGGGCATAATACAGAATACACTCAATATATTCTGTCCATTCTGTTTTTTTGTGGGCTTGCATGTGAAAAGCCATTAATGCTTGTATTTTAATATGCATCTTCCCCATAAATCTTTATTTTTCTCCAATCCTTGTGTAGCTAACTTAAGAGTGAAAAGTGATACACTTTTTGCTCAACCCTATATTCAAACATGCTTAATTGAGTGTGCTGTGTGAACTGTACCAGTGTTTTACAGGATGTAAAATGACTGACGTTTTCAAGAACATGATTTTCTCCTGTGTAAATTAAACTGGAATACACAGAAATGATTGTTTACTGCACTTGAGGTTGTGTGTCCTTTATGGGTTAAAGTATATTATATCTTAAAGCCTTCACTGATTCCCTATATATCTCATATTTTAATTACCTTCATTCCTACCCACAAAATTCATCTCTTTTCTTATACTAAAATGTACACATACACAATGAATGTGAATGAGTGGATGTATCTATCTCCCTTCAATTATATCTATCAAAAATACATGCATTCCTGATGAAGACAGGCAAAATCAGTCAAATACTTCCTACATAGTGTTAGGTATTCATTTTGATTCATATCATTTCTACACTTGTTGCAATGAACACTCTTCATTGCAACAAGTGAGACACCCCAACTGGAGATACCCACATAAACACCCAGCCACCCCCACCACACACACACACACACACACACACACACAAGTGCCACAACCACCAAACACTGCTCCCTAAACTGGCTATTTCAGACATGACTGAAATGTTCAGAGAAGGCTCACCTTGGCCTCCAAAGCCTCCCTGAAAGCCTGTGGGACACAAGAATAATTAGCACAAATAAATCTCCAAGAGAGTGGAGAATCATATCAGCGGCCAAATAAATATAGGAAGTCCTGTCACAGATATTGACACATTCTTAAAAATGTTAATTTCAGTAATCAAGCACAGCAAATATTATACAAGTCAAAACATGTCCTCACATGTGCATAAACAATAATAAAAATAAATATATAATAGATATAAGAAAATATTTATTTTCCAGATGCAAGGGTGCCCATTGTCACTGATCACTGATCTAAAATTATTAAATGCCACAAAGACTGCACAAGACCTAGCTCTTGCTTATATCTCATACTATTTTTTTCTTTCCTTACCAGCATGTTCTTTTACCAATAATCCTAAATCTATCTCAATAACCTATATTAGCAAGTGCATCAACCTGGATATATTAATATATCTAAATTCTGCACTTATCAAAAACTAACTATTATTATCACAAACATCTAAGTTTCCTTTCAGAAGGGGGCAAAGCAACAGCTTCCAGTTATTTCTTAGAGAAAGTATGTATCCCAGACAGAAGTATAAGAATACTAGGAATAAATGAATCTTTTAACTAGTCACCTACAATTTTCTTTAATTTTTTTTTTTCTAGGCCCTTTTTAAAGTGGAAGATACATGAATTTTCTTTGCAAATATCCGTCACCATTTCATTCCCTATCAAAATCAAATGTACAGCAATGCTAAAGACAAATAAATGCTCACACAGTATTGATGCGAGTTATCACTTCGTCTTCATTTTCTATTATGAACAATCATCACAAGTAAAATCATGTCAGTGATATTAATCACCTAATCAAAATATAAGGAAAGGCAAAGCAAAAACCAAGGAATTCAGAAAGCATTGATCGTTCTGAAATCAATCATTATCCAAGGTATTTCAGCATTACCATTGTTCAAAACAACTCTCAAAGGGCTGTCTCGTATATGTATAAACAAGGTCCCCTTAAAAAAAGAAAAAATGAAAGGAAGAAAGAAAGGAAATCAACCAGTACATGCTATGGATACTAGCAAATCAGATGCGTACACATCTATAGACTTTGTAGGGTTGGGCTAAAAAAAGGCCACTGAACTTATTGGTACACAAGGCTTACCTTGTTGACCACTACTATAGCCTCCCTGACTACCTGTTGAGCAGAATAGGCCAGCCATTTAATAAAAGTATGATTCACTTCAACAGTAATTCCAAATGAAGAAAATTATACTATAGCTTTTATCTTTTTTTTTTTCTTTCCTTTTTCTTTTTCAACAAAAAGTATTATTAAACTGCTACTTTCACAAACTTCTGTATGTTTAAACGGCATGTAAAAAAAATCAACACCAAAGAACACATTTAATTTTTTAAAAAGGACATTAAAACAAAACTAAAATCTGGGGGGAAAAACTATAGTAAAAAAAAAAAACTTCTAGTGAATAGTTCATAAAAAAAGGAAAAGGAAGAAAATGAAAGAAAGAAAGAAAGAAAGAAAGAAAGAAAGAAAGAAAAAGAAGAAAAGGAAGAGGAAGAAGAAGAAAAAAAAAAGGGAGAGGAGGAGGAAGAAGAAGAAGACGAAGAAGAAGAAGAAGAAAAAAAAGAAAAGGAAGGAGGAAAAACAAAAAATCAAGATATCAAAAGAAAATGGAAAGCAGGTGGCAGAGAGTTTGTAAAGCTCACCTTGCTGACCACCTCCATAGCCACCTGAACCACCTGCAGGAGTGACATATTGGAAAATGTCATTCACGCACTATTGAAGCTCAATCAAGTGATATTTTTTGAGCATCCTAAGCCTCTTTATTCTATCCATCATCAAGACAATCACAATGCCTTATCATCATCATCATCATCCCATCTGAGACACTGCAAGTTTAAAACATGTCATCATAGGATTCCCATGCTCAATGCATTATTAAGGTCACACTGAGGTTAATAGTAAAAATGCACACAGTTACAATACAGTAAAATTCACATAAAATACTCTTTAATGAACTCAAAAATGTTCTATTCTAGTGTAATAATAATAAAAAAAAAAACTTTGGATTTTAATGACATGAAAAAAGAAAAGTGGAATGGGAAAGTGGAAGGTGGAGGGATAGCAATGCTCACCTTGCTGGCCACCTCCAAAGCCACCTGAACCACCTGTAAATCATGTCATCAAGTCACATCACACAGTCACAAGAGATGGGACGATCTTGTAATGTCACTCAAAAGCTTTATTTTCTGTGTCTCTTCTGCCTTTGAAAAAAAACCTCTTTAATTTATCGCCTAAACAGCAGGACCAGTCTTGTAGAGGTTGAAAGTTGTCTGCAAATTCATAATTCGCTAAAGAGTTCTTCTGAATAGCAATATCTCTTAAAGGGACAATTTTATTGCATGCATTCATTCAGCAAACGATGAAGAAATTTGAAGTAAAGTTAGCTTTAATGCAACTGGAAAAGGAGGAGTAAATGGAGACCGAAAAAGGAAAATAAGTAGAATGAATGATAAAAAAAAATATATATATACTTATATCTATCAACAATTTCAATAAGTAAGGATAAGAGGAGAGGGGGCTGCAAATCACACCACAAACCTCACCTTGCTGAGTACTACTACTCCCACCCTGACCTCCTGTAAGATACATATCAAATGTATCATCAGATTTCAAGAGAACATATATAAATACTTGCAAAATATTGGTGCCACAAGAACACACAATTTTACTGTATCCATATAACTGCAGATGTAATCTATAATCATAATACATCTTCTCAAAATAACCTACAAAGACAGGTCCATTATTAAAAATGGAAGATTACATAGAAAACACTTGTTCCATTCAATTTTTTCTTTAAGTATAGAGTATGGTCTCATTAGCCAAACTGAATATATAAACAGAATCCAAGCTTTGGTTAGCTTATAACTTTTATAATCATATTTCATATTGATGATTAAAGCTCAATGTAACTAGAATTACTTGTCTGTTCTAATTTGGCTGAAAGGACTATAGTTAAATAATCTCAATATTTTCCTATCTTTGAGTGTTGTTGCAAAACAAAATCAGTTGTATATATAACCTTTAAATACTATGAAGTTTTTGGTTTAGCTACAAACACAAACAAGAGAATTCCTATGTAGACCCTGAATAATGACATTAACATTAAATCATACATAGCATTCAGTAATACAAACTATGATCTTATCTTGATATTCACTCTTCATACAACCAGAAACAAACACTTAAAAATTTCCTTTGCTCCAGTCATTAAAAAGAAAGAAAGAAAGAAAGAAAAAGAAAAAGTATACCTATCACATACTCCTTAGAGACCAGTAGTTTAGTCCTTGACAAGAGATCTTTTCCTTTTATTTTCTTTCTACAGCCATAATAACAATCCGTCAAAACATGTACAAAATAGAAAGAAACTCAAAAGATAAAAATACAACAATATAAATAAATAAACACTACAAATAAAAGTGGTCAACCCTCAAATCCCTAAACGCTAATTTGACAAACTCTTACCTCCTCCCGGCTGCCTCTGCGACCAAGATGGCATCTCAGGCGGGGGAGGCTCCAGCTCGTGCGCTCGGCCACCTCGATCTGGAACCTTTCCTATCAGAACCTGTGTAAATGATAGGGTTGAGAGTGACAATCATCAGGCACAGAGAGAATCAATTAAATGTGATAATCATATGGTACAAGAGAATCAATTAAATAGAGAATCATATGGTACAAGAGAATCAATCAAATAAAAAGATTATATAAAATCTGTGGACTCCAATGATATGGTCATTTGTGGCAGATGCAATTTGGAAGGGAACTAGATTTGTGATTGTATTCGGTAGAATGTAATACAATAGACATTTGTTAATTAAAGGTGAAAAAATTGAAGTGATAAAATTAACAAGAAATGAAAAACGATCATGACTCTTGCATGGTAATCGGAAGGATAGCTACCTTATTCAGGGGCGTTTTAGTAGCCTTGCGCACAGATGCATTGCTGGTCTTCTCTAAAACTGCTAAGTCTTCCCTAGCTGCTAGCATGTCTCCCACAGACACACTTGGGATTTCTGTCAGTTGGTCTCTTCGGGATCGGAATGCTTTCACCAAGTCATTTTCTCGCATTTTGGCTTTGTTGGACCACTAGAAATATAGCATTAAATTACATTATATTTCTGACTTGCATATTCATTGAAGAAAACATTTACTATTCTTTTCTTTATTTAATGGTTGATCACAGGCTATACTAAGGGGAAGAAAAACTAATTATATATATATATATATTTATATATATAAATAAATAAATAAATAAATATATATATAAATAAATAAATATATATATAAATAAAAAAAAATAAATAAACAATAAATATATATATAAATAAATAAATAAACAATAAATATATATATAAATAAATAAATAAACAATAAATATATATATAAATAAATAAATAAATAAATAAATATATATATATATATATATATATATATATATATATATATATATATATATATATATATATATATATATATATATATAAATAAAAGTATTATTGGATGAGATACCCCCCACCTAAAACACAGAATCTGAACTTACTTAGTACTAGAACACATCATTCTATAAGTTCTCCTCTATAGGAATTTCTTCGCAAATTGATAATAACAGTAACAAAGAAGGATGACGAAAGTGAGGGAAATCAAATGAGCCATTAGATTTCTGCTGGAACGTGATGCAACCACAGGCAATGACATCCAGCACAATAGAACCAATCAGATAAGAAATAGATCATCACATGAGCTGTCATCTAGTAGCTTTAGTATGTAAAAGAAGATATACATATATATATATATATATATATATATATATATATATATATATATATATATATATATATATATATATATATATATATAAGGAGAGAGAGAGAGAGAGAGAGAGAGAGAGAGAGAGAGAGAGAGAGAGAGAGAGAGAGAGAGAGAGAGAGAGAGAGAGAGAGATTAAAAAATCTGGCTCATGCAATCGAGTTAAAAGCTCCAATAATGAATGCCCTTCTAGAGGCCAATTGGCTGTAAACTTGAAAGTTTCAAAGACTGAAAAAGGTAACGGAACAAATAAACTAATGTGGTAGATCATTCACCATATATATACTTGTGTAATATCTCTCTCCAATCCAACACTGGATACCTGCATGATACAACCTAATATGAAAACAGACCTGGAAAGACTGCACAGTGACATCCAGACGCTTGATCAACATCTCGCGTCTCATTTGGTATTCCGACTGCATTTCCTTCTGCATCTCGTCCAACAGAGCCCACTGCTTGTCTGACAGACTTCCATTAAATAGGGGTTTGCCAATGAGAGACGAGTGGGCTTTGCTCTTCACATCATTTACCTAGATACAGGGGCAAGGGAAATAAAAATTTTAAAAATTAAATCCTATTTCCCTGTAAGTAATATATACAGATAACTAAATTGCAAGAGCTTCTGCATGAGGTTGAAATAAAACCTGCATGGACTAACCTTCTGTTCGACTTTCATGAAGAGCTGCTGTGGAGTGATGTTGGCCGGGGGTTTGGGAAAGCCAAGGGCAATAAGCAAAGCCTTCAGGTCCCGCGCATGTTCACTCTCACGCTGGAAATTTAGGTCAAGGTAAATTATTATTATTATCTATTATTTCCGATAGAGTAATGCTATTTGAAATGTGTCCTTCACACTGCCAAGGTACAATCAGACTTGGGATAATGTTGATACCTTTTAACAAACCACTTATGACAGTCAAGATTATTTGCAGGTTAATATATACATAGTATCCTTTCAATACATTTTCATCTGCCACCTCTGGATTCATAGGGTAAATAATGATAAGAGAAAATCATACCATTTCGACTGTCATGCCTTGCTCAGGGGTGGCACTGGACAACATGCGAGCTGCCATAAGTTCAGCCAGAAGGAAATCCAGCAACAGAAGCCGCGTTTCTGAGGATGTCAATCGCTGGCTGACAGGTCCTTCGGTCAGTTGTGTATGAGGACATCCTATGAGAATGGGAAATTATCATCATTATTTCTCTTTCCTGTTATTCAATTCTGCCAATATTATCCAACACATTTCAAATAATAATACTTGGTTAAAATCCCCTTTGGTAGGTCACTTATTCTGCATAAAAAGCAATAGTCATTCTTATTAAATAGAATTCTCTTAACCTGATACCTTCATCACTTATATTCAATTACGACCCCTATAAATCACTTTCACAGAAAGAAGAAAGAAAAAAGAGAGGAAACTAAAAGAAAAAAAGAAAAGAAAAGAAAAGAAAAGAAAAGAAAAAGAAAGAAAAAAAAAAAAACAATGTAAACAAACAAATACATAATCAATACCACAGACATAACCTACATCAAACTTCCAATTCAAAACATGAAAGAAAAGGGAGGATGGGGGAAGGAGAAGAAAAAACCCACCTAATTCCTTGAGAAACGCCGAGAGCTCCATGAGGAAGGACGAGTGCTCATCTGGGGAAGACGTGGCGTTCACCATCTCCTCCAGCTTGGCCAAGACGCGCAACTCTGAGGTGATCCAGGCGACGAGCTTTGTGTACGAAACGCTCTTGGGTCCCCCCTCGCTTCCCTCCACGGCTGCTCTCAAGGTGGTCTCATTGCTAATGTCTCCATCGTACCTGTGGGAGGTCGTGAGATTATATTATCTGCAGAAACAAGAAACACAAGAGTTTACATATATTTGCAGAAAGGGTACAAATAAGAATGAATGACTTTACAATTTTGATAATGTGTTAGTTACATATCTTGCTTTGCTTACCAATTCATTATTTTTTATAACTTTTCTCTAATTGACATTCATGGCAAATTTTCATCAACCAAAACCTAGTTTATCCCCCTTATCAATCTTAGAAAATAGTCACTTATTAAAGATGCACTTGCAATGGCCTCTGCACCTTAAGCAGCCTAGCAAAAGGACAACCACCTCCACCACACACATTCTAACAAGACAGCATGAAGATCGCTCAATCTATTTCCCGTCAAAAAAGGAACAAGTCCGAGCTCCATCTTGTTAAATGTATGTGGTGGAGGTTTATTGGTCCTTGCTTCCGAAGAGCATGGCGACTGCATAAACGTTTTCGAGGGAGGTGGTCCTTGCTTCAAGTATTACCACACGTTTAAGTTTTAGGAGTATTACCATTTATCATCAGGTCCCTAAAATGCAAAATCAATGCAAGAACACCTGAAGATCCAAAAATATGCCTAGGAAGGGGTTCAGGATTGTAGTACAAATTAACCCTTATTTTTTTTTAAACACATTCCAACACAGAACACAACTGAATGCAAAACAATAACCATTAATGATCTAATCTAAATATCCCCCCCAATTACATACAGTTTTGCTGCTCGTTCCACAATTGCGAATAAACTTTTGTCTTCCATTTTTTTCTCCATTTTACACAAAAATAAAACCTCAGGGAAATATCATCCATGCAATTACATTAAGCCCTTTTACAAAACTACATTACCCTTGCAACAAAACAAAACATCAACAAGGCATCAACATCCCTAAGAAAACTCCACCCAATGACATGACAGCTGGCACAGACGGCAACATTTAGTCCCCTGCCACGTGTCCTCGGTGTCATAAATCAACAAGTTATCGACGTGATTGAACGATTATACATTCAGCGACGAGAAAATCGAAGAAAAGGGCGAAAAAAGGGGCGAAAAAAGGACCAATTATGAATCACACATCAATACCATGCAATTTAGAAGTCAATCAAGGCTGTCATGAACCTCCTTGGTATGACACGCTTTCGTAAACCAGAAAAAGGAGGAGAGAGACACAAGGCTTTTAGGATGAATTAAAGGCAAGGCTTCGACTCGTCATTAAAAAAACTCAAATAGAAATTCCTTTGGACAAAATTTAAGAAAATTTACAACAGCCATTATCATTTCCTCCGAGAATTTTTGGTCTTCTCTCTCTCAAATCCCGTCGAAAACTTGACGAGTAACAAGATCAGGCTTTTATCCTCACCCTAGGTCCTCCAGCGAGTCCAAAATATCGTTCTCCATTGCGGGAAAAAGAAGAAAAAAGGAAGAAAAAGAATCACGAAGCACCCAACACACGCCGGCCTCGCGTGTCCGGATCCTTCCAAGAGTCTGTGGCATCGGCTAACACACCCATGTTATTGTTGTAGGGTTATCAGTTTTTTTTTTTCTTTTTTCAACAGTTTGATTCTTTTGAAGTTTAGGTTGTCGTGTAGTTTATTATTAATTGTTTTGTTTTGTTTTTTATCCTATATGAAGGAAAATATCTAAAGTTGTATTATTTTCATTAATCGGTGTAAAATGTGATGTTATGATTGCCATTTTTTCTTTTTCCTGTTTTCTGTCCATTGCTTAGAATATATCAAGTCATTTATAATTTAGAAATAATCATATATAACATACTGGTATTTCACACACAAAAAATGAAATCATCAAGATTAAAAAAAAAAAAAATATTCGTTTTTGATTCCACTTGTCACATCGACGGATTCGGACGAAGGCAGCACGGTCTTCAGTGCATTGTTAATTATTAATTTTTTCATTATATTTCTTTCATTCCTTCTATTCACCCTTAAAGAAATGCTGTATGTCATGCTAAGGCTGTTGATTGATTAGGAGAAGGATTGATACTTTGCGCAAGACGTTGTTCTATTTTATTGATAATTCTGAGATATGTCACTGAGCCCAGAATATTTGAATATATATTTAATCTGTATGATTGTCTGGGGTTTGATAATTGCAATGACTGATATTCGAAATAATAAAGCCTCTGAGCCAATTTAAGATAATTCAAATGCGATATGTATGACAAATGTGATAAATGCATAGGTATACACACACACACACACGCGCACACACGCAAGCAAGCAAGCATGCACGCACGCACACACACGTATATCTATTAATATATATATATATATATATATTAATATATATATATATATATATATATATATATATATATATATATATATTTACACACATATGAATATGCATATATGCATAGGTACACACACACACACACACACACACACACACGTATATCTACTGATACATATATTTACACACATATGAATATATACACATATATACACAAAACACACACACACACACACACACATACACACACACACACACACACACACACACACACACACACACACACACACATATATATATATATATATATACATATATACATATATATATATATATATATATATATATATATATATATATATATATATATATATATATATGCATATATTCACACACACACTATCACACACACACAAGTTTGTCCGAGTTTTTGCAGTGTGTATACAAAATATACATATAAATCTCTCTCTCTCTCTCTCTCTCTCACACACACACACACACACACACACACACACACACACACACACACACATATATATATATATATATGTGTGTGTGTGTGTGTGTGTGTGTGTGTGTGTGTGTGTGTGTGTGTGTGTGTGTGGTGTGAGTATGTGTGTGTGTGTGTATGTGTGTGTGTGTGTGTGTGTGTGTGTGTGTGTGTGTGTGTGTGTGTGTGTGTGTGAGTGTATGTGTGTATGTGTGTGTGTGTATGTGTGTGTGTGTGTGTGTGTGTGTGTGTGTGTGTGTGTGTGTGTGTGTGTGTGTGTGTGTGTATGTGTGTTTGTGTATATATAGATGTACATACATATATATATATATATATATATATATATATATATATATATATATATATATATATATATATATATGTACACACGCACACACATATATATGTATATATATTTATATATATATATATATATATATATATATATATATATATATATATATGTATATATATATATATATATATATATATATATATATATATATATATATATATGTGTGTATATATATATATATATATATATATATATATATATATATATATATATATATATATATATATAGTTATAGTTATATATATAATTATATAGTTAGATAGAGGACTAGATATATATAGATAATGAACTCTGAAAGATGCAGTTTTTAAATTCGCAGTTATTATGATCCAATGCAACATAACATAGATTAAGTGATATATCACCTTTTTAATCGGAATTCGTCAATAACACTAACTATTGGCATCAGTTTAAACACAGACCGTCTAAAAAATATAAATAATTCAACATTTAATCTCATACCATGAATATTCACTAGTCTACAGTGCTGCTGAATAATAGACACATCACACTGTCATACGGCACATTTACCAGAAATAGAAATGTCAGCTCGACAGACACGTTCAGCAGCATTTTAGCTCAGCTCAGTGAAGTTTCCTAGAGGTTATAATCTGCTGGCCCGTTGCGAGACCCAGCAGTCTGTTTAAGCAATCAGGGTTGACTCCTCTGCCCATCGTGGCAGGGCGGGAGAAACCTCTAGGCCAGCGGGAGTGCATGGCAATACTCACTGGGTAATTATAAGCACTTGAATAGCTGTGATGATGATGATAGTGTGTGTATAGGTATATGATTGTGCTATATCTTGGTTGTCGTGACTCCCTCTGCTTTGTTTGGGGGTAGAGAGTTCGACAGAAAATATTTCATGTTTGTGGAAGCCAACTGTGTATGTTGTGGATTTTTGCAAAAATATTTTGTAGAGACTTTGTGGCTATTCGCAAGGCTTTTGTTATGCGGCTCTTTCGATTAATATTGTTTTCGTAATAATGAGAAAAACATCTTAACGTAAAGTTAAATATAATATACGAGTCATGGTAGCAGGACGAAAGACGAAAAACATTTCAGGAGGCAGCCAATCCAGAGGAGGTGGTGGTCGGTGGTCGTTGTACAGGTTGGTCACATCCCGGGAAATTATAAGTATTGTGTTTCTCGTGTTGTAGTGATTTCAGCGGCAGTCGTAGTGGCCAGTGTTGTTCATCATCAACCATTTTGTAATACACAGTCTCATGCAAAGGAGAATGACCTCGGTTCTCTTGAATTCGTCCCGGAGAGTGATTCATGTGCCATCTGCCAGAGGGGGAGGTTCTCGTTTCCTCTGTCCCACGGATTTCGCTCTACGTCGTAAATATTCGGTTCAAAGGCCATCTCATTCAGGAACTTTCCCCCTTTTACTCCATCAGGCTTTGTCAGTAAGTCAGCAAGCTCATTCTCCCGAATATCAGTGTATTTCGGGGGTCCAGTTTAGAATGAAGGCCTATACCCTGACCGAGATTTTTCCGTAGTGTGGTGACTACGGTTGGTACTGTATTCCGGTTTATGTAATGCATGCTTTCCTGCCATACACACTGCCTTAAAATCAGTGTGCATGGTACCATATTCCTCTCACTGGGAGGTACGGACCAAGTCTCTCATGGGGACACGCACTGTCCGTAGTAATGAGGCTTTGTCAGGTACCCGCATCAGTAGGGCACGGTCCCTTCCTGTCAAAACCGTCGGCCACAGTGCGGAAGGCGGGGTCGACCGATCCGCAGAGTGTGAAGTGTGTATATTTTAACTACGACTTCCATGGTATTTATAGTTATTAATAGAAAAATATAACACAGATACTAATATGTGCGTGAGTTAAAGTGTAAATGCAGTGGTAGAGTGAACAAAACAGGCAATGCGAATATATGAAACAAACTGGAAGGGAACATGCAAGGTTTCGTGAGTATATACTTTTATGCCTGCTCGTTGATTTATTCTTGCATTCTTTGCTTACATTTGCAGATCAATTTGTATATTTCTACGCGATGCTCCTGTCCCTTGCTGTGCTGCCTGATGTTACCACGCCGTTTTTGCCTCTTGT